TGCCCATGGCGGTTCTGGCCAGAGGCTGGTCGGTTCCATGCCAACATCTATTTCTTTCGCCATTCTCCAGATTTGGGTGCTGTTCTTGTCTTTTTCTATTATGGTTCTCTGTTTTTCTTGGTTTGTGAGTTTTCTTCTTTTGGGGTGGGGGGTGGGGATGGGGGGAATGTTCGAGTCGGAGGGGGGGGTGATTCGTTTGTCAGGTGGGATTCTTGAGGTGATGGGATTGTTCGGGTCGAGTCTGGGGAAGCGGAGGGCAGCGCGGTGGACAATGTAGTCTAGAGTGATATTGATCGGGGGTATGCTGCACTCTACTTCCAATGAGTATACTGGAGTGGTGTGGAAGGCTCCTGCAATGAATCTTAGTGCTACATTCTGGACGCGGGTTAATAGTTGGGTGTGAGATTTTTTGTTATGCCACCAGGTTGGGGCCCCGTAGGACAGCATTGGGACTATAGCTCCTAAGTAGATTAGTCGGCGTTGTTGTTGGTGCATTCCGGCTATAGAGTTTCCAAGGATCGGTAAGGCATTTGCGGCCTTAGAGGCTGTGGCGCAGATTTTTCGGATGTGGGGGGTAAAGGAAAGTTTGGAGTCCCACGTGATGCCAAGCCACTTGATTTCGTTCGAGTGTTTGATTGTGAAGCTAGGGCGGTTGGCGCATGGGGACAGAGTGAGGTCAAGGTGGCGTTGTCTGGATCGTGTGAAGTGGATAAGGTTGGTTTTGGCTGGGTCGAGAGAGAGGCCTCTATCCCTTGTCCACCTTTCTGCGGCTAGGTAGCTGAGTCTGGCTAGTTCAATGTTAGTGGTGATTGATTTTGACGCGGTCATGATGTTTCCGTCATCAACGTAAAGGAAGGTGTTTGTGAGGCATGGAGTGTCAGAAAGGATAGATGTTAGCTGGTCATGTGGTATGTTGTCAGTGTTAGTAGCAGAGTTGATGGAGTCAATGAGGGGAGCAGAGAAGTAAGCTGCCAGCACCGGCGATATGCAACTCCCTTGTGGGATACCAGTTTGTGTGGGCCTCATTTCTTCCCTAATGCCGTCAAGGATGAGGGCGGTCCGTCGTTGACTTAGGAAGGATTTGACCCATTTGACAATTGGGAGGGGGATTCTCTTATCCCGTAGGGTGTTTAGGAGGTGGGGGTGTGAGACGAAGTCGAAGAAGCCAGTTATGTCGAAGGTGAGGGAGGTTGCTATCAGTTTGCGGTTGAGGGTGGCTTCTATGTCATGTACTGCTGCGAGTGTGGCATCATCTGCTGAGCGGCCTTTCATACCCCCAAACTGGGTGGGCGGCAGGAGGCCGTGCTTGCTGGCATAGTATGAAAGGCGGTTAGCAGTGATACGTTCGATAACTTTGCCCAGGACTTCAAGAAGCTGGATTGGTCTGTATGAACGGGGTTGGGTATAATCCATTTTATTTGGTTTGCGGAGGGTTATTACTAGGGCATCATGGAAGGGAGTGGGGTGGAAGCCTGTCTCTATGGCTGCCTGTATGATAGAGGTTAGTTCTTTCCCAACTATGCTCCATGCCAGTTTATAGGCGATTCTGCTGAGTTCGCTTGGTCCAGGTGCATTGAATGAGGCCGCCTTAAAAAGGGCTCGCTTAACTTCACCCCTTGTGATGGGGTTCCATTCTAGGTCAGCGTTGCTGTGCTGAAGGTCGATTGTCGGGGGGTTGGGGATGGATGGTGGGTGTCATATCCGTGCATACCCGACCCCGACCCGACTTCCGGACCTCCACCCTCTTCACCTCCGGAGTCATAACCTACCGTTGCCGTTCCGATACTCACCTTCGGTCCTGGCAAACACACCTCCCCCTTACCTCTCCGACCCTATCTCCGTCCGCTCTGATATTCATCCCGGACCGAACATCGCCCCACTCGCCACCCTCCTACTACTCCGCTCCCCCTTCACAACACCTCCACCCTCCCATTATCCCCCTACGCTTCCCCCGTCCGCTCCGATACTCACCTTCGGACCTGACTACTCTCCTTTCCGCCACCCCTTCTCCCCTTACCTGTCCCCTCTCTCCTCCCTCCGTTACTCCTCCGCCACCCTTCCGCCAAGTTACGACCTTCCACCGCTGTCCCGTACTTCGCACTCGGACACCGCTCGTACCTTACACCGAGCCTCCGTCATAGTCCCTACCTCGGACTTTGACTCCACCTTGGCCTTAGTCCATTGCATTGGTGACCTCATACTACGTCAACACCATTGCCAATATTCCTCGGACTTCCAACCCCGCCTCCGTAACCTCCGTAAGCTCCGCAACCCCCGAGCTTCGCGGACCACCTTCGGCACTCTCGCCGCCTGTAATGTATTTCTCGCGTTTTCCCTTCATCCCTATTTGGACTACTGCTTCTTTCTATTCTAGCCAGTTGGTCATCATCCCCACTTCCCCTCATCCTCCTGCCCCTCTGGGCCTCGCCCTCCCTACCTCCTTTCGGACGTATCACAGGTCTTGCCCTATGACCTTCGGTACCGCTCCGCTCCCTCTACCCTTTGTTCCCGTTCGGATGTCTTCGTTCCAATTCGGTCACCCTTTGTTTCCCCTTGTGCTTTTGCCCCTTCCATTATATATATCGGCGCTTGTACATACTCGTCTTGGTTTCAGTCCGAAATCGACCTGAAATGCCCCCTAGAGACTTCCTGCTCACCTACTGTGAAATTAAGGACCAAATGGACAAACAGCAATGGCACAGCACTCCGCTTGAGTCGCTGAGGCCAAGGTCCCTCCACGCTAAGTCTCCGATTCCACTCCAGAGTCGTCCGCTTCCGCCCCATTCTAACAGTGGGGCGGGGAGGAGGTGGGCACGTAGGATTTCACACTTGTCCTGAAAGGTGGTTGCAGGGGGGAGGTTGGCACCTTGGGATATATGCGGAGTTAGGTAGTTCCTCGTGCCTGCAGACCAGCGGACTAGGGGCCAAAAGTTAGAGTTGTCAGTGTTCTTAGCGATGTTAGTAAAGAACACCTTTTTGGTTTTCTTGAAGAGTCTTTTGAATCGGGCAGCAGCGTGGTTCATGCAGTTTCTGGAGTGCTCTGAGATAGTGCCGGTGATGGACTTTTCGACTCAAGTGGTTTCCCTAGTGTTTACTATGTCCATTCTGGCGTTGGTAAGTTCGATTGTCCAGAATGGTTTGGCCTGTTTGTAGGGTTTCCTGTGGGGACAGTGCCTTTCAGCCACTGCCATGATGAGGCCTTGAATTCTTTCTATGGCTGTGTCAATTTGAGAGTGGTTTGGAGGGATGGTGCGCCAGCCGAGGATCGGGGAGAAGGTGTTACAGTATGAAATGGGGTCTGCCTTGATTTCGAGTTCGATGTGATTGGTGAATCCTATTTGGTCGAGTTTCCTCCACATGAATTTGGGCTGAGGGTCACATTGGGCCGGTGAGTCGCTGTTAAGGGTTAATTTGATCACCGTGGCGAAGTGGTCTGATCCACAATTGTTTTCTGAGTCAATCTCCCAGTGGGCTATGCGGTCTTGTTGTAGGGCAAGGTTGTTTGCGAATGTGAGATCTAGGGCTGATTCAGAGTTGCCATCTGGGGCGACCCTGGTGATTTGGTTCCAGCTGTTGATCAGATGGAGGCCGTTCTCGTGGGTCCACACAGCTGTCCGCGAGTCTCTTTGGTTTGCGGCATGGTTGTTGGGTATATGGTTAAAGTCGGGGTGGTGGGTGTTCCAGTCACCTGTGAGGATTGAGGGGATTAGTGGGTCAATGCGAGTAGTGCAGAGTGCATCAATAGAGTGTGAGTTGGTATTTTGTACAGATTGGTTGTATATGTTGTAAATCCGTATGGTATCTTCTGTGTGTTGGGTGAATATGTCCAGGATTTGGATATCAAGGTGTTCGAGGATATCTGTTCTAGTGGTGACCGAGATATCTGAGTCTTGTCTTAAATAGGCGAGTACTCTTGGTCTGTCTCCTTCTTTAATTCCTTTGGCTACGGGGAGGATTGGCGTCCAGCCGGTGAGGTCGCAGGAGATCCAGGTGTTGTTGGGGCAGCCCCACCACGGTTCTTGGATGAGGATGATGTCAAAGGGGGAGAGGGGGTGGGTGGCTGCAACATGAAGGGCTGTTGTGTGGATGACAGGTGATCTGGCCACGTTGAGGCTGAAGATCCTGACTTGGTTAGTATTGCCATTCATTGGGGCGCACCTTGGTTGATGATTGGAGCGCTACCGTCTATTTCCATGTCGGGGATTCCCTGTGGCCTTGCATGAGGGGGGAGAGGGGGTTGAGGGGCAGGGGAGGTTGCTGAGGGCCCGAGGCCAGTCGATTGGAATCGGCCTGGGACTCTAATAGTTAGTTTAGGGGGGGCAAGTCCAAGCTTCTTCCTGTAGACCATACAGTTCCTGTCATAGTACTCATGTGTTTGTCCACAGTTGATGCACTTGGCTGGTGCATTGTCTGGGTGGGCCCTGGTGGTGTGTTCCTCACTGGCGCATTTGAGGCATTTGGGTGTAGGGCAAGCCGTCGTTCTATGGTTTAGGGATCCGCAAAGGCTGCAATAGAAGGCCCTTCTTCTTTCTTCGAAGGCTGACGTTGTGCAGCGGTTGCCTAGGCAGAGGAAGCTGTTGGCATCCAGTAGTCGTTGTGCTTTTTCGTGTGAATCGAACGTGAAGATCAGGGTGGAGCTGTCCTTGTACCGGGATCTGACTAGCCAAGTTGGTGCTCTTTCAGGGGAGTAGAGGTTGTCCCAGTCTGTGTAATTGTTGCGGAGGGTGGTCAGTATCTCTTTGGGGGTATGGGTCCGGGTAGATCCATTTGTGGTTGATCGCATTGGGACGTTGTCCAGCTTGACCTTGAAGAGCTGTTTGTCTGGGAGGCCTACATAGTGTTCCACTGTGTTATTCGGGTCGAGAACAGACATGATCGCTTTGGTGTGTCCCATCAGATTAGATGCTAGAGTCGAACCAGCCCCTGTAACTATAATATTGTCAGCTGCGGACATGGAGATGTCCATGACACTGAGGTTGGGGTCCAGTCCGTCCTGACGTAGGGCTTCATTGATGGCCTTGGTTTTTTCCGGTCCGAACTTGCGTTGGTCAAGCGGGATTTTATTTGTCGACCGGATTATCAGACGGGCTGGGTGGTTTCTCTGCGTGGGGAGTGATGGCTCGCGGGGGGGTTGGATGGGCTTCTTGGTTGCTCTTCTTGGTTGGGCATAGCCCGAGTTGGTTTTCACGGCTTGGGCATATGAGTTTGCTTGGCCGAGGGCCGGAGGCAGGTTTCCGGTCAATGGGGTGGTCAGGCAGTTGGTATTTGCTAGGTTGGAGAGTTCAAGTTGTTTTGCCAAGTTTGCGTTGGTGTCAGCTAAGGTTCTAGCAACTGCGAGGGCATCTTCCAGGGTTTGTCGTTGTTCTGTATTGATGGGGGGCTGAGAGGGGAGGAGGCCTTCGGCTAAGATGTCCCGGGCATCAATGCTGAGTTCCCCTATAATAGTGGCTAACAGGGTTTTGACGTGTTTGGGAATTCCAGCTTTTATGTGGGTGTCTGAGAGGCGGTAGTCTACGCTGATGAGGTCGCAGACGGATACGAGGTGTTTGCATATTTTTCCGAAGAAGGTAGAGTCGTTCTGAGAAGAGTCCGTACCGAGATTGAGAGGGGCCATGCGGGGGCCGGGCACATTGTACCCTGCACTCTGAGGCCGGGTGCCACTGGGAGAGGGGGAGGGGCTCCGTTCACGGGTTTCGGTGAGGTTCGTGAAGGTGAAGGCGTCGTTTTCCTGGCCGAAGTGCTGCGAGAAGGACGTGTTGAGTATTTCAGGAAGGTGCGATTGAGAGGTCTGGGGGCGGTGGGCAGGTTTCAGTCTTCTTTTCTTCGTGGGCGTTTTGGGTGCGGTGGGTGGTTCTGGGCTAGTGGAGTCCCTGTCTGGGGGTTTTCTTTTGTTAGCGGCGGTCCCGTGAGGCTGGTTCAAGGGTGCGGTTGGGGATGGGTTAGACTGCTGTTGAGGGTTTTGCTGCATGTTTTGATGTTTTTGAATTTTTGACGATAAGTACAGTGATGTGGACCCGTAGATGAGGTTCAAGCGACATTAGAAGCCATCAATTCAATGTCCGATAGAATGTCCGTGAGGTCAAACGTTACCAGGTAACGTTTATTGTAAGCAGTACGACCTGTGAAGAGCATCAGCTGAGGGATATCAATGATGATTACATCTTTCTTATGAAGAAATACCGTTGCTCGGCGGGATGTGGCCGCGATCCCTACTGGGCTATCTTCAGAGGATGCGTGATTTCCCGGGACAACGAGCAACCGCAGTCTGTCGGACATGTGTTACTTACGTTGCCTGTTCAACCATTTGGGAAGAGTCTGACAGGATGAGTCAACTCCCATCTTGCTTGTTCGATTGAATCTGAATGGAATCAAGGTGAAGTGTATCTTCCTTGGTGGTTTTATCGCGATCGGTTCTTCCTTCTATCCTAATCGTCCTCGGATTCTTTTGCATTCCATCGTCGGCTCTTCAGCTCTTCAACTCGTTAAATAAGTAAAGGCATCAGCACGTCCATGGTGCTTACGCTAGACTCAGTGAGCCGCTAGACTCAGTGAACTGGACTACGGGCTCAATGGAAAGACGAATTTGTGCGCCGAGATACCCTTCAATAGGGTTATACCATGGTGGCACACACTCCAGAGGCGCTGCATTGTGTTTGCTTCGGCAGTAGTAGCACCATCGAAGTTGCCAGTGGTGACCATCATTGCATTATTTCTACTCAGAACCTCTACTTTGAATCGAATTCATCCGTCTAATCGCTGCTGAAGATGCTGGAGGTTCATTTCTCTGGCTGTGACGTACAGCCCGTGAAAGCTGGTGCCTCATCGGTCTCTATGTCCTAGGAGCCACCAACGACGGATCGATGATTTCAAGGGTTCCGCCGACCGAGTTTAAGGGATGATTGCATATGAGGAATTGGATGATCCGTCCACTCAGCTTCTCGCTTCTTCCGATCCTTCAACTGTTCGGCCATCTCTCACCGTCGTACACTAGTATTCTCTCTTGGAGGACGATATTCCGGCGCTAATGTCGGGCTCCACACCCTATCTGGTCGAGCATCACGCAAATTGGTTGCACGTTATCATGCTCAGAATCTTAATCCTTGGACTTGTGTCCCTTTGCCCGTCTCCCACCCAGAGCCCAGGGTTGGTAAACAGTTTGAGAAATTGGGCCAGGGTTTGTATTCGAAACCTCGGTGGGGGCAGCATGACCTGGATGAACCCTGGAGTTGCCCGTTTTGTGGCCTGGAGTCTGCCCAATAGTGGTTGATTATTCCAGATTCACTATTTGTGGCGGGCCGCTAGCCCCGTTGGAGGCCATGGCTTAATCTGTTTTCTAGGGATTCTCACGCCGCAAGACGATTCAAGGCGCCGCTCCGATGCTTCCATTGTGCTGTGCTTCTTCCTCAGGTGATCCTAGCAAGCTCCGCTCTTTCCGTTCGCCAACGCATATACACAGTGCCCGACTGCATCGTCGCAAATATCTGTGGTCGTAACCACAGAATCGAACCATTGATCTATTGTTGAGCCAGAGTCATCTCAGTGATTCTAATCGCTACCCCTGTTCAGTTGATTGTCCAGCTTTCTGGTTCTAGTCTGAGTAATGCTACTGCTCCACATGCATGAAACGAAGCCTTCTGAAGCCGGCTTCGATCTACTTAAAGTCCCATGGCTCAGTCGTCTTTCATCCCCTCCGGCGTTCCAGTGTCTTTCTCTTCTATGCAAAATGACACCGTTTGAACATCTCTACGGAGGCTATTTCACCGGAGTAATACTGAACTCGATGTTCGTCCTCAACTGGCTTGCTTTTCGTCGTCTTATTCCTATATAATAGACTCTTTGGCATCATAACGATTCAGACGCACCTATACTTCAAGCGGTATAAATCAGATCCCTTACTGGTCAAGGGAATAGTCATCTTCCTCATGTGAGTGCTCGCTAGGGCTTACGAGGTCAACGGCTCAACGGCTCGATTTTCATTCTGCGCAGTTTGCTGCAAGGATTTCAGACGCAAGCACACCCCAAGTCCCCTTTATAGTCCTTCGTCGACTCATAACCTCTCATTAGAGGCACTTCTTCATATGTAGTTTACACCAACACAATCCGGAGCTTTGGGGTCCCAATTACTCGGACTGACTGGTAACGTTCTACCGACACTCTGATTTTATCGCCACTCATTCTGTACTGTAGGGAGTCGACCATTTATCAAATGGCCACGGTCAGTGTTTTCACCATTCCATTGGTGACATTCCTTCATGCGTGCCGATTCAGGTTACTTGTGCAGTGGTGGTTCAAATGTATTATGCATACCGCCTCTACCGACGTGGGTGGATCCCAATAACATCCTTGACGGTTTGTATTTGACGACGCATTCAAGTGAGCAATTCATCCTGGCTCTCGATCTTGGTGGTGTGTTCGCAATCACCTATCACTTGATCCAAAGTTTTGATGTTCAAGTCCGGTTCTAGGTAATGCTCACTCTCGCGCAATTTGGTAAGAGTCGTGACGATATATGGAAAGGACCTCATTGTTCAATCGATTTTCCGATTTTCCGCTTTCCGAAGGACTTGCATTGGGTGAGTGTGTGGGTAGTGCGAATCGAGCGACACTTATCATCAATAATCTCCTAGCCGTTTGCCTTAAATCGTATGTGCCATGACGAGCGAGTGGCACGAAACGGGTCTCATCCATTTCTTGTCCATAGAAATCTCACACATCAAATCGAACAGACAGTCACCCCGCTTCGACCGCTAATTCTCAGCTGGTTGCTCATCGAAGCAGTCGTCGACACTCTGATCGCTGCGTCCATGTGGTACTTCTTGTCACGACAAAGGACCGGATTCCGGGAGTAAGTCAACATCTGAATCAGGCTTTCAATACCCTCACACCGCTCCGCAGAACCGATTCTGCCATTACCATATTAACTGTGTACGCGATTAACACGGGTGTCGTCACAACGTACGTGATATTCTAGCGTGAACCCATGTTCAATTCACAATGTACCCTATTTGTGACAGTATCTTGGCAATGACCGTTATGTTTGCGGTAATGAGGGATCACTTCATTCAGACTCATTGCTTAGGCCTGCACCTTCGTTTATAGTTCGCATTTTACGGTTACCACTTCATTCATATGGCCTTTGTTTTGGTGCGTCTTTACCACTCCGGGCACTGGCCTCAACGCTTTAACGCATGGTTCTATTGTACCAGTCACTCGGGGCCGTTTACGCTGTCAGCTTACTTGCAAAGTGCGTCATTCACCTCACTAATCCGTTACTCCTGGAACAGAGGACAGTAACCCACTTAACAAAACCACTCAGCCTCCACTCGCGGTCTATCGTTCGAGAACGACTGAAACCGAACAATCGAACAAGGGCTCGTTCTATTCATTTCTCTCGGCTCCCAGAGAGGGTGATTCCAATTTCCCTTTACCTTCTTCATGCCAATCCATTATCGATAATCAACTTTTAGATAAGGGATCGGATATCACAAGCGGTGAAAGGGAAAAGTCCTGCGACTGCCTCTGGTGTCAACGACGCCATGACAGCGGTCCCCCCAGTCATCGAGGTGCAAAACACTGCAACACACGAGATTGAAATTGTTGGATAATCCGCCGGAAATGAAATCCTTTGTCTAGTGTCGTGACTCTGACATTCTTGGTTTTACTTGCGTGTTTGTGGCTTTATTTGGATGGTGACTCAGTTCCCGATATGCATCATCCGATCAAAATAAAATGATGGCCAGCATTTTACCAGCGCTCAGCTTAAACTTTGTATCATTGATAGTTACATTATGCCAGCATTATGCCAGCACTAGATATGTATATTTTTACAAGATTTTAGGGAGTTCTGGAAACATTAGCAAAATCTCTCACCTCAGTCCAGCCTATGTGAACTGAGGGAAGGGGAAGGAAAAATGGGACAAAAGGGAAAGTGAAGTGACCAACAGGTCGGATAAATGATCAATTATCGGACATCCCACCCACCTTGGACAACCACTATGTGGGCCTTTATAGGGGGAACCCTCAGAATGTTTGCATGGGGTCTTAAAAGGCCTTTTTCACTATAAATGTCCTCAGATGTCCTAATTCAGTTTGATTCAATGGTTGCATATTGTCCCGGAACACCATACTTGTCCATCCTGTTGTAATCACGAGTCACGGTGAAGGAGAGAAGAAGGAAGGTCAGTTGGGAGGTTCAAACGAGACCACCACCAAGCTGTTCCCTGGTTCTTTAGTTAGGATGGGGAAGTGTACTAGTAATATTTGTTGTAATTATAGTACCAATCTGAGTGTTTTGGCTAATTCTATTTTTATGGGTTAGTGTCATATCCATCCACGGCCATCGACTTCCACTACCTCCGAACTCTCTGGACTACCTCCGCTCCTTCTTCACTAACCTCAGAGCTCCCGTATTCCGCAATCACCTCCACTTCCCTCGATGGTCACCACCCCCTCTTTTCAATATATTACCTACACCTCCCTAAGTACGGAGCCCCAAAGGTTTCCGGACAGCTCCGATGTCCGCTAGCGCACTCCCGCCTCCACTGGGCAATTCACTCACTTGCCCTGCAAGCCCACCTTTGGGCCTATCCCTCCTTTCCGTTTCTGGGTTATCGCCTACCATTCCGCTAACCCCGTAACCCAACTTGTCGTAATATTCAATAGCTAATGTTTAACTCCATTAGCCCCACTCCACTCGCCCCATTCATCCCCCTCCCTGCGTCACACCCCCCCCCCCCCCCCCCCCCCCCCCCCCCCCCCCTACACCTCTCACACTTCAGCCCGCATGTACCCGCAATCACGTGGTTAAGCCAACTCGCCTAACCCATGACACCTTTCCGAGTCGCAACACCTCGCTTCTACCATCACGTTATGACTGTACGTACACTTCCTATGTAGCCCATAGGAACTTACCCTTCTCACTCATCCGCTTAGTCCTTCATGAGTTGAGACTGAACAGGTCTAGTCCAACCACTAACCCCACACCTAACTGAGTCGGCTGTCCCGATCGAGACCACCTGACCCCACCATTTACGGGCCCACCCTCGTTGTAACTATATGTACTAAAACTTGTACATAGGTTACACCCCAGTAATAAAGTTTACCCCCTTTAGTTCTCATTGCCAGTAAGTTAAATTAGGGCACGGACGTGTAACTTGGCACAGTGCTCCTGGCATAAGTCGCTGAGGCGAAGCCCTCCACCATGGAGACATTCCTTTGTCTCGATCTGGTCTCTGACAGTTAGTCTAAAAGTTTCTGGGAATTGACTTACAGATAAACCGAGCCCTGTGGAGCTGTTCCTCTATTGTAATTTCTTAATTTGTCTGGGTGTAATTCTGTGTAGAATTGTTTAATTTTGGAATTTAACTTGAATTAAATCTTCTACTTGGTGAAGTTTCAAAGATTCTACTCAGTTAATGGATTTAGATTGTGTCTGGAGTGTCCCTTGAGTTTGTTTTATTTTTTTGTCTTATTTTATTGCTTGTTTTAACAGTAGCAAAATAACTGTTTTGTGTTTACACTTTGAAATCTGGAGTGTTAACCAGCTCTCCTGTTGAAATATCTACTTAATATTTCCCTCCTTAATTGCTGCCTTTTACTACAGTGGCAATCTTAACTGTATATCACTTTTTCACACTGGAGTGACAACCAGAAATGCTTGAGAAAAATAATACTCTATTTTCTTACTTCTCTAAGGGGGGCGAAAGCTTGCAGAAAGGGTCTCCCTTTGATACTCCTTGGGTTGCCTTCCTTTTTCACACTCTACCTCGTATTTACAGGATTTATTTACAGTGTATTTTCCTCAAACTGAATAAAAAGTGAAATTTTCATGCTATAGTTCTACTGCGCTCAGCTGCGCTGAACTGTGGCTCTACTGCAGTCAGACTGCGCCTAGAATCCTTATTGTCCTTCCTCACCTAAACTATTTTAATGGTTAATTAGAACTTGACTGCACTGCATTTGTCGCAGTTTCCTATTTCAAATTCCTCATATTTACCATTAAGTTCGCTATGACTCGGTGATTCTGAATTCAAACTTCGCATTACTATGCATATGGCTGCACTGAGACCTTCAGCTGATTTATTCCATTTTTATCCAGCGACATTTAGTTAAAATGAGACTTGAAGTGGTAGGTGGGTGAGTTGTTCAGGTTTAGAACTGAAAGAAAAAGTTGCTAGTAGTCAAGAATTACTCAAACGAATGTATTATAGCTCTCCACTTCATTAGAATATCGTTCCCTAAAATTCCACCATGGTCATTTTTTTTTTTTTTTTTTTTTTTTTTTTTTTTTTTTTTTTTTTTTTTTTTTTTTTTTTTTTTTTTTTTTTTTTTAAATTCCCACCATGGTCCATTGTAGTTTAGTGGTTTTTGTGGATTTCATCCATCTCCCCTGATTCCCCTTTCTATTTTTCATAATTTCCGTGTAAATTTCGTTGTATGTTTTAATTATGGATCCTATGTAAACATCGTCTTTTCCCTGAGCCCGGACTTTTGATGTCGCTATTCCTGTTATTGGATATCTCATTAATGCGTGATCCTTTTATTATGAAAATTTGGGTGGATTAAGATTAGATCCCTTCCTTTCTAATGGGCTATCAAGCTCATCTCAGTTGTTACTGCTTGTTCTTCGTGCTTGCCTTTTAAATGTTGTCCTCATTTTCCAGGAGTTTTAGTCATATCTCCGTTGTTTATGGGTAGTTTTCCCTGTAATTACTTTCATTGGGTCCGTTTGGGGGACATCTACATTTCCTATTATAAACACGACTTTGAATTTTGCATTAGTTCCTAAGGAATCCTTGTTCCGTGGTACTTCCATCCTTGGCTATGTGTGCAGATGTGGGAAAGTAGTTTCCGTGGAGGTTCTCTGGTTGTTTTTATAGTCAAATCTTGGTCGATTGTCCTAATTCTCGGTTTAATATTTGCTATAAATCCCCCCGAGAATTCCGTCTTGTTGATGCTAAGCTTGAAGTATTTTTGCTAATTTTCTTTCTTCCATTTTATCGTATGTAGTCATAATAATTCGTAAAATTTCGTTAAAATTCAGGTTCTTCTATTTTCTCATATCTACTTGTCGTATGGGGTTTTGTGATTTATCTGGCATATTTCCATAATGGGTTTTCATAGTGTGACTGTTATTTCTCCTACAACGGGAACCAGACACAGCCAGTGTTTATGTGGAGGACTGATGTGGAGATTTTGTAGTCACACAGGAGTTACCTCAATAGGCTGGTCTGCAATAGATTTACATTGTATATAAATATGCACAGACAGGCATTGACAAAAATCATCAGGTTTCACTCTAGCTTACATCTGGTCTTGCAAGTGTTGCCACTGAGATAGTGGATTACCTTATACAGAATCCCTATATTATAAGAGGTTATGAGCCCAGCCTAAGGGTCATACCTATCTACTCAATACACTCAGACTTCGCTTGACTTCTCAAATACAGTTGCTTGACTTCATAACTCAGTTGTTACTATGGCTTCCTCAGCTGACAATGTTTCTCTTGGTGGATATTAAATTCTGGCCTTAACTGGCAAGGAGAATTACTGAACCTGGAGAATTAACATGAAGGATACCCTCAGAGTCCTTGACCTACTCCCACATATAGAAAAACCCCTTGATGACTTAATTGCTGCCAATCAATCTGATGAAGCTAAAATCTGAAAGTCGGACAGCAAAGCCATTTTCCAAATGCTTGTCCAGTGTGACCCATTTGTGCAAACATTCATTGAATCGGTAGATACTGCAACGGAAATCTAGGACACACTCTGGAATGAATACAAGGATTCCGGGAGTATTGCATACATCTATCTTTGGCAACAATTCTATAGCATGAGAATGTTGGAAGAAGATCACATCATCAAAAATTATGGTGCATGTATCAAGATCTCCAGATTGCTGGGGACTCACTCCTGGAATTGGAATTTGTCATGGCCCTAATACATCACTACCATCATCTTGGAACAATTTCATTGCCTCAATTGATTTCAAAGAACTTGAGGACCCAGATGATAAAAAGAAGATGGCAGCAGCTCATTCAATCATTTTTCAAATCAAAGGAGAGGCTAATCATCACAAATCCCAAAATTTTGGTGCACCCACTGTGTCATATCCATACATACCCAATCCCGAACCGACTCCTGGACCCTCATTGTCAGGGCAATAGCCCTGAACCCCGAGTCATATGTAAATTAGATACATATAGTCACGTGGGTAAGCGGGAACCTCCAGGTAACTGCTTACACACCACCGTAAAATACACATACTTGTATCACTTACGGCTTTGTGTGCTGAGCTACCCAAAGACCTCACACTCATCCTCATCACCTCCACCCTTCCGTCCTTCTCCTACCCTATCTCTGTCCACTCCGATACTCACCTCAGACCAAACATCACTCCTCTCACCACCCTCCTCCTCTTACTCCTCCTCTTACTCCTCATGACACCTCCACCCTTCCATCACTCTCCTACCCTACTTCTGTCCACTCCAATACTCACCTTCGGACCTGACACCTTTCCTCTCCTCCACTCCTCTCCCCACTCCTCTCTTCTCTCTCCTCCCTCTGACCCTCTTCCACCAAACCTCCGGCAAGTTACAACCTTCCGCTGCTGTCCCATACCCTGTACTTGGACACCACTCATACCTTCACTCTGAGATTCCGTCATAGTTCCGACCTCGGACTTTGACTCCACCTCGGCTTAAGTCCATTGCATTGGTGACCTCATACTACATAAACACCATTGCCAACATTCCTCAGACTTTCAACTCCACCTCCGCAACCTCTGTAAGCTCCGCAACCTCCGAGCTCCACAGATCATACTCGGCACTTTCGCCACTTGTAATGTATCTTTCGCGCTTTCCCCTCA